AGCTCACCTCCCTCATACCTATTTTATCACAGCTTACCCATCATGGCTCCTGGTGGTCCCCCTGGAGGAGGCTCGCGTGGCCGGGGAGGCAAGTTTCGAAAGCCCGCACGAGGAGGTATGTTAACTACAAGCATGAGCCCAATGACCGGACTGACAAATTACCAGGTGGCAAGAAGTTTTCTCGCGATATCCGACCTCTCGATGCCGACGGAAATGAGGTTAGCATGTGGGCTGTCGACCCGAACAAGAAGGACGACGACAGCGACGAAGAAGAGTCTTCCGAAGAGGAATCTTCTGAAGAGGAAGAGGAAGAGGACAGCGGGGAAGAATCTGGTGCTGGCCCTTCTCAAGAACAAACCCAAGAGCAGTCACGCGAGGCTCGAAAGGCCGAGAAGAAAGCCCGAAAGGAGGCTGCCATAGCCAGACAGAAGGCCAAGACAGTCGAGGTTGGCGATCTGCCATCAAGCGACGAGGACGAGAGCGAAAGCGACGAGGATGACGATATGCCTGCAAACCCCAATCACTCCAAGAAGGCCCGCAAGCAAGCGGCGTCCTCTGGTGTTGACGAGATTACAGATGGTGTCGAGAACCTGCAAGCAGCACCAAGCCGACGCGAGCGTGAAGCTCTTGAGGCTGCAGCTGCTAAGGAGAGGCACATGCGATTGACAGCTCAGGGCAAGACGGACGAGTCTCGGGCCGATCTGGAGCGTCTCAAGGAGATCCGCGAGCGACGTGCTCTTGATGCTGCGCGCAGACAAGTGAGTTACCCACATAGCCGGTATTCTGTCCGCAGGGTGGCCTTACTAACATAATATCAGGCTGAGCGTGAAGAAAGAGAGGAGCAAGAAAAGATCAAGAAGGCCGAGTTCGAGGCCAAGGAGGCCCGTCGTCGAGAAGCTGCCGCTGGAAAGAAGGGCAAGAAGAAATAAAGGCCACCGAGAACATGACATACGAACTCTCATGAAAGCATTTGATTTGGCTATTGCTTAGGTACTATCTAGACTCAACTTGTTCAAAATATTGAACAGAAAGGCGTAAAGTGATACAAGTCTAAACGTGCTCTTCTAGCCCATGTTTCAAGTCTCTCACATGAGATCTTAAGAAGGAACTACTAGCTGCAATCTGTGAATCTCATCCAAGTATGGAAATCTGAGAGATTAGGGTGAAATTAGGATGGCACAGACTTCGATGATAAGTGAAGATATATGGCACTTAGATTACTTGTGGCCATCATCGAATCTCGTCCAGACTCCAGCCAGGCTTAAGGTAGCCCAAAGTTTCAAGTATCCCGGCGTAGCAGATAGCACAGACACCTGCTACGAGCGAAAGGTGCCTGAGTAGGTACTTAAGCGGTGTCTGTATTTTAGTGACATATAATTTGATTGAGGCCATTGGTGATCCTCTTGGATTCAGTCACACGATGTAAGTGTCTTGGCCTCCAGCCATCTACCAAAAGCCACAGAGTCCTATGCTGCCTGGATTACTAATGAACTCTGGAGCGACAAATCGTATAAGCGCCCCTCCATCGAGGAGTTTCAAACTTAGAATCTCCTTGGTCGTGATATGATTCGCGATCGATTCATACAATGCTTGATGGGGCTCAGAGGACCCTGAATATGGCGTTGGTACGTACCTCGGCCTGAACCTATGCGCTAGGCAGTACCTAAGGTACTAAGGTAGGTAAGTGCAGGGGGTGGATCGACTGTCTTGAATGGGCCTTCCCCACACAAAGCCGGTCATTCTTTAGCGGGCACCTCAGGAAAAAAAAATTACAACGATCCTCCCCGAAAAACTGAAGTCGCAAATCACCATCCAAGCTTTCTTTTCCAACCTCTTTTTTGTTATCGAGGACATTTCGTCAGCACGACTCTCCATAGCTGACTTTCTCGAATACTGGAGATACGACGGTATCACCGATATCCTACCTTTTCAATCACCAGTTAATATGACAGAGTCTGAGCTGCAGGTCCGTTCTTCTACATGCCCTCCAGCCCCGCCTGTGATGGGACAAATCTTTGAATCATGGCGATAGGGAACCCTGAAGCTGACTGTTTACGCTTTAGGATTACCTGTCCGGCCAACGCGGAGCCTTCGAGGGCATCCTTGGCCTCATCCCAGCCAAGATGTACTATGAACAAGACAACAGTGTACGTGAATCCAATGCCTTGTCAGGTAAAAGCCAGCCATATCACCACCTGGAACAAACCCATCACATGCCTCATAATATATCATATGCATCGCAATGAACCAGAACGAGGCTAATACAAATGCAGGATCAATGGAGCAAGAAGAAGCAGACAAAACAACAGGCTGCCGATGCGCGACGCGGAAAGCTGGATCCCGACAGTGAGCGGAATCGAAATGCCAAGGAAGTCTTAGATGAACGGGCCAAGAACAAGCGAAAGCTGCGTGAGATGGAGAAGCATGACGATACTGATAACGAAGATGATTGGGAAGACCAGGAGCCCGTCCCTGGCGTAGAGACGGAGAAGCCTGGCGAGGGCCTCAAGGTCAAGACAGCGGAGACCAACAAGAAGAAGAAGAAGAAGCTCAACGACTCGACAGAGACAGAGACTCAGGATATTTCAGATACCAACAAGAAGCTGAAGCTCAACGACGAGGGAGAGACAGAAGCTAGGGACACAACTGAGACATCTTCCAAGATGTCGAAAAGGGAAGAGAAGAGGGCGGCCAAGAAGGAAATGAAGAAGGAGAAGAAGGCCGAGAAGAAGGCCAACAAGACAAAGACTGTTGAAGCCGAGAAAAAGGATACACCAACTCCGACAACAAAGGCTCAGAAGCAAGCCGCGAAGAAGCAAAAAGTAGTTGAGGAGGAGGAAGAGACAACTGCCCACGGTGACGATGAGGTTCTACCTATGGACATCTCGGGTCTGGAGAACGAGGATGAGGTCACCGCCAACTCAAGTAATGAATCCGGGCCACATTCTCCTACCTTTGACACCAACGATTCTACGACAACTCCTGCTGAGACAACCGCCGAGCCTGCCAGCACGACTACCTCCACCTCATCCACTATTCCTCCTTCGGAGAAACCTAAGTCTATCAAGCTCCCTGCCGACACCTCTGCGATCCGAGCACGTCTCGCTGCCAAAATTGAAGCGCTTCGTGCCGCCCGAAAAGCTGACGGACCTGATGGCAAGCCAATTCGTACACGCCAAGAGCTCATTGAGTCGAGAAGAAAGAAGCAAGAGGCTCGAAAAGCCCACAAGCAGGAGATGCGCAAGCAGGCCAAGCTGGAAGAGCAACGAAAGCGTGAGGAGGCTTTGGCATCTAGCTCGCCAGGTGTTATGAGCCCCGCGGTTGAACTTGACGAGACTGCTAGCAACTTCACATTTGGTCGTGTCGCTTTTGGTGATGGCGCTCAGCTCTCACGCGATCTCGGCCACGTGCTGAGCCAAGGCAAGAAGAAGGGGCCGTCTGACCCCAAGACAGCCCTCATCAAGGTCCAAAACCAGAAAAAGCGTCTTCAGGAACTTGACCCCGAGAAGCGTGCTGATATCGCCGAGAAAGATATCTGGCTGACAGCCCGTCGCCGTGCCGAGGGCGAGAAGATCCGCGACGATGAGGCTCTCTTGAAGCGTGCCGTGAAGCGAAAGGAGGCCGCCAAGAAGAAGAGTGAGAAGGCCTGGCGCGAACGATCTGACGGCGTCAAGATGGCTCAAAAGGACCGTCAACGCAAACGTGAGGATAATTTGCGTCAGAGACGGGATGACAAGCTGCTCGGTAAGGCGGGCAAGAAGAAGAAGAAGGGTGGAGCCGCCGGAGGCAAGAAGAAGAGTCGTCCTGGTTTCGAGGGAAGCCTGGGCGTTGGGGGCAAGAAGAAGTAAACCGAAGAAGTTATGACGCGGTGAGGGGGAGGTGGAAGATGAAGAGAAAGGCTGGTTGAGTTTTTATCCTTCGATTTATTCAAGATACACGGCGCTGGCGGAGTTATGGTCGGCAAAATGGAGAGGAGCATGAAAAACATCTTCAGGACTGAGCTCGGCGATGCATGTACTACCTTAGTTGATATAATCCATCACTATACGAAAGCAGAGAGCGTGTCTCGAAGGTGCTGTCAAGCCTGTTCATGCTTCAAGTCCCAGAAGTGCAAGTTCCCCATGTTGTCTTATCCAAAGTTGTAGTGTTTTTGCGTTGAGTGTGTAGATCCAGGTCGTTCATTCATACTTAAACTATTTCAAGTCCATCACCAGATGCGATAGCAAATATCTCAAGGCCCCAAGTTTTCATAATAGACAAATGCCCATGCAAGGTGGCTTAAAAGTTGTCTGTGGCATTTTCTTTTTCATTACAATGGAGATACCAGACCCAAATCGATGACAAAACAACAACGGCTACCTTTCACACACCGAACGACCTATGGATTTCGCCCCCTTTCCCTAGCCTTCCAAGAAACACATCGACAGAACACACACGCACACACACATACACAACAAAGCCATGGTCAGAGTCAGAGTCAAAGTCATAGTCATCCCGTCCACCTCCTTTTTTGTTTCCCAAAAGTAAAAAGGAAGAATAGATAAGTCCCGACAAAAATAAAAAGGACATTAAAAGAAGAAGTTTGGGTGGCTTATGGAGTCTTACCACCAACACCACTTGTTCAAGCGCCCAACAAAAATAAAACTTTGCGCTGAGTTGATCGATTGGCCAAGCTCCCAAGTTCTTCATGTCTTAAACCCAGCTGCAACCCAGTTCAATTGAGCAGCAGGCAAGTTCCAAATTTCCGGAATTGCTCCATATAGTAGCGGTGGTGTGTAAAGACTCGTTCTGGTTTCATCTGGGCGAAGGGAGCCATGAGACTGTTGTCGTCAAAATCATTTCGTAAGAATGGGTTTATCAGGGATTAGGATCGGATAGTTGGAACAAGGGATTTCGAGGGAGGGAGCTTGGCCTGGTTGGGAGCTGGGTAGTTGAACGAAGGTGTAGCCAAACGTCACGTTCGGCAGTGGTGGACACGCATGAAGCTTGCACGAGTACGTCTATAGGAGAGAGTCGAGTCTAGTGAAGACACTCAAGCAAGCTGCAACCACCTCAAGCTGGAGCTCCTTGTCCTTGCCGCTATTGACCTCCTGTAGCTACTGTCAGTTATGGAAGTCTCGCATGCATCACACATTACCCACCTCGTTAATGAGTTGAGGCAAGTTGGCACCAATGCCGTTCTGTGTGGCCTTCTTGCCGAAAGGCCATTGGCTGTAGTCGGCGAGTAAATCATCAGTCTGCGCAAAAGCCCGTTCCCTTGCCTCGTGGCCAAGGGATGCGAGGGCGTTCTCGAGGACATTAGCGGCGTAGGCGGCGCAAACCATGGCGATGCTGCGCATATAACGGAATTCGAGCGACTCGGGGAGGAATTGGCTACCATTGAGGACGACGGTCCGTTGGGTAAGGATGTTGCGAACCCGGCGGCGGATCTCCTCCTTAGCACCACCGTCGGCGACGGGATGAGTTGCCATGTCGAAAAGGAGAAAATTGCGCTTCTCGGTACGGAGGATGCCCTTGTCGACCAGGCCCTTTGCGAGCCGTTCTCGAACCTGCTTGAGCTGGTATCCGATCTTCATCAAGTTCCAGGTTTCGCCTGTGATTCGCGAGGCAGTCAGCAACGGTTGCTTAGGTATTGGGAGAATGGTGGGTAGGGTAATTTACCGCTCATCAAGTCAATCCAGGTTGCGACGCTCATCTTTTCGCTCTGCTTCATCATCTTGAGAGCCTCGTCGAGAAGAACCTCGCCAGTAAGGGTGTCGTCTATGACCTCGATGTTGCGGTCTGCGAGGGGGAATCGGCGTCTTGAAGCATCCTTCTCCATTGCAATGCGACCACGGAAGGCCAGTTCGATGACAATGCATCCTCGAAGGGCGTAAGAGATGTTGTCGTTCCAGAAAGAGAGGTAGCCCTGTGAGCATTTGAGAGTCAGAGGTGTTGGTCCCTTGAGCACAAAGGGCACGTGTATGAGCACGAGTGGCAGCCTACCTGCTTATCCTTGAGGCCAAGTAGCAAGACCTCCTCCATGAGGGTGAGCTTCGGCTGCTTGCTCCGCTCGGCGCTCTCACTGATGTCGCGAGGGTCGAATGCGATCTTGTGGCCATTTTCTGTGCTCTCGTAGCTTGTCTCGGGTCCGTTGTCCCTGGCGCTTGGTGTGCTCGTTCTAGGGGCAGTGCCGTTGCTGGAATCGCCCTCAGCCGCAGGTCCTGCGCCGCCCGCACCGCGGCGTCGCGTCAATCCCGAGGACATTTCGAGTAGATAGAGATGATTAGTTTTGGTGCTGGGAGGGAAAAGACGGAGACGGAGGTGGAGGAGAGGGAGCGACAGCAAAGTCGATTTCCGGAGTCGAGATGAGGTTGAAGGGGTAGTTTGATGGATGTCCTGTCCTGGAACTTTGATTGACTGGGCTGAGCCTGAACGGGGCTAGTTGCGCGTTCAGATTTAGGGGTTTGGGACTGGGGCCCGCGGGCTACTCTTGATAAGTGAATGAGCTCCCCAAGTTATAGGCGTCTCATTAGCTGTTGGAGCCAATAGATCGCTGAGCCGTTGGGGGACGGAATGTCCTTGCATGGGGGTCTAGGACCAACTATTGATGCTATCGATATGGGCTGATTCTCCCTTGTTTCCCCTTCTCTTTTGGTTGACTTTTTGATTTAAAATGAAGACCCAATGCCATCCAGAAGATACTGATAAACGACCTGGCTTCTTTTGCTTCAGAAGCTAACGCAGGGGGGGGTTGACCATCCATCAGCCGACGATGATCCGTCTTGTGAGACAGTTGGGTGGCTCGGACATATGAACGAAAAGCAGCAGACAATAAAGACTCTCTACACAAAAGACTTTACAAATAATAATTGATTTTTTGAGGATTGGTTTAATTAAGTGTACGAAAAAGAGGAATGAATCTCTCCCACCTCGGTAAAGTTGGAGGCATAAAAGGGATCTTATACGAGGTTCAAAGTGTAAGGGGGAAAAACTATGTAGGTGTGCCATTTCCCAACGAGTACTATCGAATAGCTGTTTTATGATAGTATGCTGACTTCAGTAATAACTCCCTTTCACTACAATATTTTCTATTTGCAAGATTGAGTGGAAAGGCGCATTCAAGAATTGCATGAAAGGATGCCCAAAGGATTGACCCAGCTTACACGGCCAACCATAAGCTCGAGAGGCTTCCTGGTGCTTGTCCAACCCAATAACCAAACAGCTCATCAATGTTACAGCAAGGATGATTTTTTCCTGTCAGCATTCCCCATACAAAGTATGTATATTGGCTTCGTTATTGGGATGTAGCCAATGAAACTCGTGTTCTGAAGCCAACTTCCTTCCTCTGCTTCCGTCTGCCATCGTCCAATTCTTCCTATTGAGGCTCTATAGCAAGTATAGAAAGAAACTTGTTTCACCGCTCTATGTCCGGTCCCGTCCTGTTGCACTCCTACTCTGCTAGGATTCTCCGCACGTGAAACCGTGGAAGTCCACCTTCAACACTAACATGTGGCGTTAGTCAGCCAGACACGACACGTAACTCCACCGCACACTTCAACTACACTTCATCCTGCCATCTAACAATACCCTTGGCTTTCGATGGCTATCTTAACGCCGCGTGGACAAGAAGCTCAATCGAGGCTGCACATCCTCAATCATGCACCAACAAAGGCATAGTTGTTTCCCCTTAGTTCGCATCCCTAATTGTGACAGACACGGACGCAACGCATCAACTCTAAACCAGGCAGCGCCGAAAATCTCTTTATTTAACGACTATACACAACTGGAGTGTAAATACAATATTTCACAGAACGCAAACCCACATCAGAATCTCAAGTTTGAGGTGGTAAACTGTTGTCCTTGGTTACCTTCTCGGCCGAACCCCCCCCCCCTGAAGTCAGGGGTGCTTCTTTATATGAACGAAGATCAGTTCGCATGCTATGCGTCTGTGTTTTTCTGTTCAACAATTTGATCAGATGGAACTGGCTTTGGCTCTCAATTATGCAAGCATTGCAATAAAATTGAGCCGCATCGACCTTGTGAGCGGATATTGCACAATCGGCATTTGGCATAAGGTATATCAAAGTGGTTGTTAGTTGATCACATGGCTTACTACCACCAAACTTTGATATGATCTAAGAGGACGCAAATATCCCTTCTCCTTTAAGCATGTGACACATTCACTGCTGAGCCATGCACATTGCTGCCTGGTGTGGTGATTTTGACTTTGTGTTCACCACAGTGGAAGCTCAGCGTGAATCAGACAGCTGCCTGCCAGCTGCACCCCGTGCCTACCACCGTCACCACAGCACATACCTTCATTAACGATCACAACAGAGTCTCTTTTAACAAGTGGGGGGCCTCTGGGGGTGACCTGGCGGAGTGGTCGTCCACAGGAGCTCTGGGTACGCCCAGAGCTCCTGAGTTCGAACCACACCCGCCGGGTCACCTTACAAACCCCCCTCAGAGACTCTGTATGGCCCCTGGCACCCCTAGCATGGGGACGCCCGGACTAGGGAAGCAACGAGGCCATAAGTGTGAGCAAAGAAGTACCCAAGCGAAAGCAGGGCGCGCAGTAGATCCACCGCTATAGAGTCGGATGCTGGGCGTGTAAGTATGTGAGTAGTTAAATGATAATAATAATTCTTTTTGACTACTTTGTTTATATTATTGGAGTTTATATAAGAGTAAGAAGCGTTATGTCAATGAATTTATGTCCTCCTCAAAAATTATATTCCGACGCTCTTCTTCCAAAGTTCATCGAAGTCGATGTTCTCATTCTCAAACAGCTCCCTGATTCTCTTGGCTGCTGCCTCTTGCTCCTTTGGACCAAATCCGCCTGGCTGTGTCGCTTCAAATTGAACAATCTCAACCCAGCGATAGAATAAGTCCTCCTTTCCAAGCGCAATGAGCACGTCGCGAAATGCAAAGACTTGTCGCCGTCGCTCATCCTCACTTGACGCACCACTACCGCGCACATCGTAAGATATCCAACCGTAGTCAGCGTGGTGGACAAGAACCACGCTCTTGAAGGCCTCCAGTGCAATCTCCTTCTTGTCTACTAGGCGATGTGCGAGTATCATGTGTGCCCAATCCAAATCCCAGTGGCCATTCATCAGGAGATATCCGGTTTTTTGCTCTTGAAGAATAGGAGACGTGGCATGATTGATGTATGTGAGCAGAATCTTCTTGGAGCCTTCATCAGTAAAGATGTCAGTGAGAGCTTGATCCCATTCTCGGCTTCGGCGGACATAAATCTCCTGCTCGCGGAAGCCGACTTGCCATCGCCATTGACAGGGATTACCACGGGTTCGTCCAGCGACAAATTCCACAGGCCAGGGCCAGACAAAGACGAACAGAATGAAATCAACCATCATTGTCCCCGAGCGTTTTCCGATCTCCCAGGCAATCTCAGACCACGTTGAGTCAGCAGTGTTCCAGGTGGTCTCGTTGTCGTGGCCCAAACCAGTCATGATGAGCGACCAATACCAGGGGAGAATCCACCACATGCGAAGGACAAAGAGAAGTACAACGACAATGTTCATGCCAACAGGCACGAGGAAGATCTTTCGTTTGAATTCGGCAGGTTTGTTATCAATGTGTGTGACATAGACGTGCTTCTTGTCCAGAGCATTGATGAACGGCTCAAGGACCTCAGGGGGCCGCTTGAATGGTGAAGGGGGAGCCTCATTCTTTTTGTCGACGAACTGGGCCGATTTCTGTTTCCCTCCTCTCTTATTCGGTGCCATTCTTGATGAGATTCGGCCTGATGATCACCGAGTTTGGGTGAAAAGGGGTGATATTAGGTATTGTGGTAAGGTATATATGCAGGCGGGAGTTGTAAGTTGGAAATGTGTTCTCCAAGACTCAGTAGAAATCATGTTCGAAGCTTGGTTCCACAAAATATCCATTGGCTGGAAGTGTCCATGGACATAGCGTTTGATATTGCAAAAGATGTCTGATGTAATAACTATTAAAGGGAACGACCAAAAAGAGCGTTGCCGGTTAGACAGGGTGAATCCAAGATTGCTCTTCTAGAACACCTAAATTTGGAATTTAATATCCTCATCTTGGCTCACTAATTGAAGCCCAAAGATAGGTCGATTTGACAAATGACGTCCATTCATTATCCGGGCTCTAACTGTGGCGGACAATCCCGGCGCCGAGGGTGCCCTGTGGTTAACTACTAACCTAGAACTCCACTAAGTTTGGATTTCTGTTGTAGCGGGACGAACTTATAATTAGCACGTTCAACTTATTCGGTTGCAAAGCCAATGTCGAAGCAGATTCACTCCAAATCTGCCAATTCCCCGTCGCGGCAATGTTGAGAGTGCGCACCTTACAGGTTAGTTCTCGACCATCGGTCACTATTGGCAACCGTCTCACACAGTATCCAGGAGCGCAGTAATTCTTACGTATGTGCCCTCTGCCGTCACAAACTCTCGCCCAGCGATTCGCAGTCCAGAGATCGCCATGTATCCAGCGTCGGAGCCACAATAACATCAGTTAGAGCCACTCGGCCATCTTCGTGTCACTATCTACGATTATCTGGTGTGCGCGCCTTGTCGACGAGCTCTATACTCCACGGACCGAACGATAATGGCAAGCCGGGAGGCTTACCGGGGCGTGGTTTTCCTGGAGGGTTTGGAGCTGGATTGGGGTCTTTCGGAGCATTTGCGAGCAAACCATCACCGGATGCTTCGAAGCAAAGCGTTGACTTGCTTCCTCATGAGCAAGAAGCTCGTAAAAAGATGGGATTGCCTGTGAAGAAACCTCCCAAGGTTGAGGCTGCCCCCACCCCGCCACCTGCACAAAACAACGTCAAGAAGCGATCAGACCCCCAGAACGCAAATCAAAACCAAAGCCAAAGGAAGAATACATCTCAAGCCAGAGACAACCAGCAACCAAACCGATCGAACGACGGAAACAAATATGCTAGACAGCAGCAGCAGCAGCAACAGCAGCAACAGCAGCAACAGCGGGACGCAAAGCCAACAACGCCCCCATCAAATCTGTTGTCAAGCTCAATTCTTGCTGAGGCTTTCAGAACAGATCGTACACCGGCTCCAGTGGCAACGCCCAAGTCATGGTCTACTAATGAGCCTCCCAAGCCAGCTGCACCCGCTTGGGGAGCCTTCAGCGCTCGAAAGGTTGATACTCAAATACCCCTCACCAGCAGAAAAGCGGAGGCGAAACCTGCGGAGAGCAAAAACAAGAATAAATCGCAAAATGTCGCACCAGCAACAGGCCAGGAAGAGGGTGAG